GCAAGCCCGAACAAGTGAAATTGTATCCCACGTCAAAGGCCTTCATTACTCAGCGCTTATAACATATTACTTTTTCGCTCTAATTTTTCTTTTTCAACGTGTATATGTATGTATAGGGGTAGATGTATTCAACTTAGTCTGATTTCAATGTCTTTATGGAACTATAGGGGCCTAGAGAGCACAAAAAAATATATGCCTCAAAGTACATATTGTGGGTGTGATGTGCATCCTTCTGTGGCTAGTTATAGAATATGTGTGCTATAGGTAGTTACATTCTGTACATACTTGCTGTATCTTGTACAATATGTATATATGTCAACTCACTGTAATAAGAATCAGGTGCATCGTGGCTTCTATTAAGTGTTGATGATCAATCTATTAATGGAAGTACTGTTTTGACGTTGTAGAGAATATGACCATTAATGTTAGCTCTTCAATGTACTCATTGGCTTATGTGCCTTTAAGAGGGGCCATAAGAAAAATCAACAAATTCAGTACTCTCTCTCTCTCTCTCTCTCACACACACACACACACACATTTACCCCAACAAATTTATTTATGCATGTAGACTTTTACCCAAACAAATATTGAGGAGTCTGGACATCCACGTGTGTGTGTATATATGCGTGCAACTTACATCACACTCCCCAAGATATATGTAATATAAGAAATACTATACTTGTTTAAACCTGAAGAAGAAAAAACATCATATTTTCCCTCAGTGCTTCTCCTTTGCTTTTGTGGGTCGCCAATTTTCTGCCTTGGTCAACATCATCCAAAGTTCGGAATAAGATGTTTAGATGAAAATAAGATAGATAGTGAGTTTACATGTATGTTTAAATGGGACTGGGCTCAGGTTGTATATGGGTTTAAATGGAAATGGGATAAAGTTAGGCCTAATGGGAATGGGCTAGCCACTAGGCGAGAATCAACTATGGTTGGATTTTAGCCGAGGGCTAGAATTTGGGCTTGAGTAATACAAAATGAATTTTGAAACGGGTTGGGTTTTGCTTATTTTGTAGTGATTTTGGAGAGTAATAAATTACATCCTAAATTAATTAGGCTTAAAAAATCAGTGTGTTTCAACTTAAAAACCCCAAATGGATTTGTAAATTTTTACATTTATTAGAAACAAAAGCCAAAATTGGCATCAGGCAGATTAATGGTATGACAATTTGCTCCTCTTTATTTTGGTTTTTCCTGACTTGGTCAAATAAATTTTAGTAGTTGGATACATGATGAAAGACAACTGTATTCAGATACCAAGAAATTTGAGATTGAGGTTGAGAACTGGGATAGAGACCAAATACAAATAAACTAGGAGACATCGTATTTTCCTGTGAGTTGATCAAAAGAAAAACTTTTAAACCCCGTGATTCTCTTCATGTAACATAGGTTGAACTTTGATTGCATGACATTTTTGCTCACCAAGTTCGGGCTTAAAAGGCTTTTGAATGGATTGCCATTTAATTCTTAAAAGAACAAAAGAAAAGAATATGGATATCCAAAAAATGGTGAGATGGTTAGTTAAATACTGTGGGACTATCAAGCTGCAGATGCCCCGATCGACCTTAGTTCTTTTTTTTTTTTTTTTTATGTGAATATATGTAATACCACTTGATTCATCCAAAAAATGTTCTTTAACACAAAATATTCTCACTCTGTAAGGAACATACTAAAAAATGCTCTTGCTTACCAGGACAGATAAAAAAATGTACATAAACCGTAAACAATTCACAAAAAATATTTCATTTAGTTTACAAAGACTACAGCCAAAAATGGCCCTACACGTTAGCCACAAAGATAAAACTACTGTCCCACTCAAATCCATCAGGAAATAGCATACAACTCATCTACTAAGCAAAAACAGTGGCATACCTAACTTCCAAAAAAAAAATTCCAATGGAAAGTGCACGATCAGCTTTGAATTAGCTAGACATCATCATGTGATCAATTGCCTGAAATGCTTGATTGGCAAAAAAACGGACATCAACATCTGGGTCCTCACTTAGCTCGACCAAACATGGACGAATTGTCTTCTCCACCACCTATAGTAATATTTTTTTTTTCGTACCCAGTTTAACAATAAAATTGTGAGAGAAAAGGATTTAAAACAATCAAAAGAAAAACTAAGTTGAGAAACTATTTCCATCCGTCACATCACCAATATGGGAACAGACGTATTTGACGTGGAAAAGTAAAAAGGAAATGAATGGCACACAGTACTTACAGACTGATCAACTATGGGAACGAGGGACTGCAGCACTTTCGCCACATTAAACTTTATATTAGGAACCCTGCAAATGGAGGAGATTCAGACAACAATCAGAAACCACATGGACTATAATACATCATTCATGTTTTGATAGTGTATTTACCTGTCTTTGGATGCACTGATAACCACTGGTAAGAGTTTACAACATGTGATTTCTAAGCCCATTACAGGTGCAAGGAGAGAAATGGCACGCAGAATGGTCATCCTATACAAATAGTGTGGATTGGTGGTCATCTCCAAAACCTGCCCACATGGCATCCCAACATGCAAATTTTAAATGCAATCAAATAAATATCTTGAAAATGCATTTATTTCTTAAAAAGGGAAAAATGAAAAAATTGCAAGTTCCAGTATGGTTGAGGCACCAACACAAATAATAATATTCGTGTAAGTGTAAACTCAAATGAGCAAGTAATCCCTTGTGAAAGCTGATGGGAATTAATCTTCAACCTGTGGAATTATGTGATGCATTGCCCATTCTGGACCGAATTCTTCAGCAAGTCGCTTCAAATTATTAGCTGCAGCATCACGAATCGAGTATACCTGAAAACAGCACCCAATCAGAATTTTTTAATACAATCTACATAAAGATAATTATGATGCAGAGCTAAAGCCTTCTACTTGAAACCATTTTCCTTATTTAGAAGTATAAACTATACCACAATCCACTATTGGTGATAAAAAGGTATCCTAAATCAGAATTTTTTAATACAATCTACATAAAGATAATTATGATGCAGAGGTAAAGCCTTCTACTTGAAACCATTTTCGTTATTTAGAAGTGTCAACTATACCACAATCCATAGGATTTACTATTGGTGATAAAAAGGTATCCTAAATCTTCAAAGAGACAAGATAATAAATTTGCACAGATCAACACTACAAGTACATTATGTATATCCAAATTCAATATATTTGGCTACACTCCAGTTACCAAATTGTTTTCCATGCTCAGGATTCAGTTTTAAAGCCATCAAAGACGGACATCAACTATAGTACTGGACCAAAGATAATTTCCCATAACACTTGCACAGTTGCACTAGAAGTTTAAGAAATTCTTTGGCGTTGATTATGCCTGAAGTAGTTGATTGCTTTTTCTCCGATGGTCTTCATTCATATTTTTGTAGACTTTAATGGGCTCATAATAGATACAGATTCAGCTTCATTCCAACCGCCAAAAAGTAAAAGACTAAAAGAGAAAGGAAAATGCATATAGAATTTTACTTGTAGTAATGCAAGATACAGAAAAAAAAATACCTTATCCTGTAACCATTGCATGCAGAGAGCACCTAGTTTATCATCAAAAAATCCAACACCTAACTGACTTGCCAATAGAGGTATATACTCTATGATTGCAAGACGAACTCTCCAATGCCTATCCTCAGCAAGCTCGACAATAGCTGGCAATAAAGATTGTGACAGCAAATCAATTCCGATAACCTGCCATTAAGAATATTATAGCATCACTTACTTGAAGAGGAATAAAGCACGTGTATAAGATTTACAAAAGAAGAATCAAGCATATGCAAATAAACATCAATCTTTTATGGATGAATAACAGCCTTGATATCCTCTTACAATTAGGTGATAGTACCTGATAAGTACTAAAATACTGTAATAAATATATACATTTTTCTTAAAAATTTTGTAAAACAAAGTAATTTATTTATTTTTTATTTGGCAATCAACATTTTATCTGAACACGTAACTGTTTATCTAATGCTTTAAGGAACTTAAAAGCATCCTACTGCTTCAAGCCTATTTCTTTTAACAATCTCAAATACCCTCTTAATGATCTTTTAGAGGAGAAAAAGGACTGCAAGGATTATACATTAGATATTCTTTTAAGCAGATCAGAAATAGATTTCTTTGTTGGAATTAATCCGTTCTGGAGTCATCTTCTCAACTAACTATATTTCAGCAAACCCACCGTATCCTCTCCCGTCTTACAGTTGTCAATAAACACTTAACCATATACCACCATCTGATTCGTAAAGCTTTTATTGTCCATGCACAGTTAAAGCTCAGCTCCTGACAGCCTCAAAGAACTTTACAAATACTCAGAGACTAGAGCCAAAGTCTCTAATTATATTAGAAGGAGAGCAAGTGCGTTAAAAATAGGCCTCTTTCTTTCTTTCACCCACAAAATAGACACACGAATGAAATTGAGAAGCTTCTCCCTTTGTTTACAAACTTGCAACCAAGCTCAATCAACTCAACATTATATCTTTGAAATTATTTCTCGGTAAGAAAATTTGATATTATTGTCAGAAGTTAGTTTTTATGTTTATAAACATATACGTTTAACTTTTTTTCATCTTAATAGGAAAGACAAAACAAAAAGTTCTACAATCTTTTAATGGCAATAAAAAAAGGTTTTAAATTTTATTAAATATTTACAAATGCACAATCTTAGCAACTGAACGCTGATTCAAACAATGAGTCCCTACTTGATGAAGAGGCATCAAGCAAGAGTCTCGAAGCCCCGCCCCCCTCCATCTTGGAGAGCAGAGAAGTAACCATCATGACTAAGTCAATCCGGTTTCTATTGTATGCTTTATTAATATGCAATGGACAAGGTAAAAATATTAAATAATTTTTTTATAGTAGGTACCATTGAATTTCTCCGCTTCTTTTTTTCCAAATGGCAGCAGTTACTTTACTCTATGTGTAGATAAAATTACAAAACGAATGGGGAAAAGATAGAAGAAAAGAAAATCAAGATATTTTCTTCTTTGTTTGGGTCACATGTCGAAAAATTGAATGTCAATAAAATAGCAAATCAGATAATTAAAAGTAAAATAGAAAATTTTGCTGTTAAAATGTTGAACTTTCTTTTTTGTCTGTTCTCAATTTCCTTTTATGTGTAATAATGGAAAACATTAAGCTCTAAGGGACTTTCCCCATAAGAACTGGAATGCACACACACACACAAAATGAGGTGCCGGGGTTGTCCATATGTTAATGTGATTGATATGATATATCATATATATAAATAGGATTTGATCTAAAGCTTAGCTAGGATTGTGTATGTTAATATGGTGGGCTAGGCAAGAAGCTTTATGATTCCCTTGAATCTAATTAAAATTAAATTTAATTAAACATTACATAACTTTGTTGAAGCATAAAATACAACATCTACACAATTTACTTTGAAAACAATATTAGTATAAATTTCTTATAATAATTTAGTTTTCAATGTTTTTTCTTTTTAAAAAATTACATATAAATAACAGTAGATTTTGGTTAATAAACTATGTTTTGAATCTTACGAGCCACTACGATTTGTCGTTCAAAAAATTGGATTTTCTAATGATAGTTCAGATCCAACTCAACAACTATCATTCCTTCTAGGGACTAAGAAATACTGCACAAATATCAGGTTCCATAAAATAGCCATTTAATCCAAGTAATAAATCAAGTTAGGCAACTCAAAAAAAAAATCAGGTCAGAAAGCAAACAGTTGTAAAACAATAAAACAGCAAATCATGGTATTTAATCACCACAAGGGCATTTAACTTTTTCTTATGCAAGAAAGATTTTTATTCACATATCTATCAAGGGGGTGATAGATGAGCCACTCAAGCAGAAAGTATGGATTTGTCACAAACCTGATTTACTTGATCAAGCTTGCTAATGATGTTGAGACGTACATCAGGAAATTCATCCTTCAACAGGGAAAGAAAAATTGGAAGAAGCTGCTCAATTGTTGCTTCCTGCATTAACACACTGATAAGGTTCTGAATATAAAATGACAATATACAATATCAAATCCATGG